TTTATGTTTTATTCTTTTTATTCAAAAACACTTAAATACCTTCTAATCATGCCTTATAATAATTCATTTTATATTTTTAGTTATTTAAGAATAAAATTTATTGACCAAGGTATAAATTCGTGACATTTAACCGGTTAACCATATCGTTAAGCACATTTTGTCACTTTGGTTCGTATATTTGTCAAATTAGATCCTTCACAACTATTAAGCACACGTTTTACATAGAACTTAACTTACTTATAAAATAGAGACATGTTGATACAGAAATTAAGTTTGTTGCGTTCAAATGATGTTATATGCTAATTTTCACAAACCGGTGATGGTTTGTAGTCATACATCATAACGAAATTTATCAATAGTTACTTGTTTTATATTTCACAAGAACTTATCTAATAAAGGAGGCTAAATTCTTTCAACCATTTTGAATAAAATACTCATATTGCTTAATAATCAAGACATATCATCATACGATCGTTCCTATTTTTACCAATTGTTACAACATGTATAATGCCATAACAATTACTTTGTGTAAATACAACAATATTTAGCCGCAACACAATTTTTAATACAAATATCGAGTCTTCTATAATGCCATAACAATTACTTTGTGTAAATACAACAATATTTAGCCGCATCACAATTTTTAATACAAATATCGAGTCTTCCGCTGCATGGGGTATCTTCGAAACCACAACAACAGTAATCCTCATCAACCTTCTTACATTCTATATTACACTTTGGTGGTTTCCTAGCACCAACATTACTTAATATACGACCATTACCTATAAATGCAAAAAATACCAATACTAGAATAATTATCCATTTAAAATGATGCAATACATGAAAAGTAAATACATGATAGGAACTTACATTGATGGCAAGGAAACAATACCAAAAAGCTTATGCAAAACATCAATATACGTGTTTCAAAGAGATTAACCATCGTGTGGAGTACTATTTAAGTTAGTTTATCTTTTTGGAATTTTGAAATGATTTAATGCACCATAAATGAAACAAATATTATATTTATATACACAATTGAGATTGTCAAGTAGTTATATACTTTCTCATCATAATATTCTCATGATTATTTTAACAAAATCTAAATAGAATTTAATTACGTGTGTTCCATATATGTATCGACAAAAGTTTATATTTTCTACGAAACATCCTCATCCTTAAGAAATATGTCTGTAATTATTCACCACTTGTGTTAATTTCATTAGAGAAACCAAAATATATGAATGTTATGATTAATATATATATATATATATATATATATATATATATATATATATATATATATATATATATATATATACTATAATGAAAAAAAATTTCTTTACCAACATACCATTTATTTATCTTAATAACTAAAAGATAATTATTCAGAGATGCTAGTTTAGACATATTATAAACATTTAGTTTTGAAATTTTATAAATATTTATTGACAGGATGATCTAATCATTCTTATTTAATTTTATTTTATAACATCAAATTATTTAAATTCATAATTCCTTAAGCGGTTTAGAATCAAAATTATAAAAATTAGGACTATTGGTTAAGGGTCATACGCTAAGGCTTATCATAAGTAGATTGTGTATAGGTAAGTTCACTTCAAGTATGTATCCTTGAATGGTTTATAGTAGGGGTGTGCGCGGTGCGGTTTGGTGCGGTTTCGAGTCAAAACTGCAAACCGCACCGCATGTGCGGTTTGAATATTTTAGAAACCGCAAACCGCACCACAGATGTTCAAAACCGCATGATGCGGTGCGGTTTGATGCGGGCGGTTTATGCGGTTTAGTTGCGGTTTGATGAGTTGTTTAACATTAAATCTATCAAAAAACTAAAAACCTGACCGGGTTAAAAAAATGATTGCTTTCATTTTATAAAAACAAATACAATTATCGAGTTAAATCGTTTTTAATAAATTGTGACTCATGTTACTATAGTTTTGTAAGTATCATTGTTATTGCTTTATATTGCCGTTATAATTTATATATTCTTGTAAACCATGAGATCTTGATCTAATAGTGATTTAATGTTACGTTATAGATATTTGGTTATTGTAAGAAATATATTTATATACATCATTTCTAAATCGTGATTTGAAGTTATAACAAAATAAAGAAAAAAAAGTATATATATAACATGCGGTGCGGTGCGGTTTGAACCGCAGTTTTATAAATACAAACCGCAAACCACACCGCATAGTGCGGTTTGATAAAATGATGAACCGCAAACCGCACCGCGAAATTCTAAACCGCATTATGCGGTGCGGTTTGGTGCGGTGCGGGCGGTTTGTGCGGTTTTTTGCACAACCCTAGTTTATAGTAATAAAAGTTAGCAATACGTTTTCCAAAAGGTTGAGAACGTGATAAAACATCCTCAATATATATATATATATATATATATATATATATATATATATATATATATATATATATATGGCTAGGTTATAATGTGGATGGACAACTATTGTGCAAACGTGTGAATAATGCTATTTTATGAGAATTACTGAGAGAATATGTTGTTTAGTAATGTGAATATGTTCAATCTTATAGAACTATTGTTATTTTAACGGATTGTCACTAATTCTAATTCATTTTTATTCTCATGCATCGTTTTCATTTATTTTTGTTCTTACAAAATACGACTGAAGAAACATCCTGATAACATTCTGACAGAATGAGAATAATTAAAAAAGTATATAATAACCTTATAGACAATTTAATTAGTGAAATTGCGTAACAATTACAATAATTATATAATATTGAACGTATTCTTATTATCAAACTATATATTTTCTTTGTCATTCTCACATAATAGCATTGTCCACACGCCTGCACAATAGATGTCAATCCACATTTGAACCTAGCTCTCTCTCTCTCTCTCTCTCTATATATATATATATATATATATATATATATATATATATATATATATATATATATATAGGGAAATGATCAAATGAGAACACCTGAAAGGTTGAGAACGCGAGAACAATTCTGGACCAATAAATATATAAGGGCATACTAGTAATTGTATATTTTAATTAAATTAAAATAAAATAAAATTCAATCAAATTCCCTTAAATTTAGGATCAGTTACCAAAAAAAAAATATTCAATTTTTTTTCTTATTAATGGAATATAAAAAACATTTTTACCAAAATTATTTTAAAACTGAAAAAAAATCATAAAAAAATCAATATTTTTTCTCCTATTTCACGTTTTTTTTTTTGTGTTAAAAAAATGAATAGAAATCATACACCAAATTAATACGTTTTTATGGTGGCGTAGGGATGAGGCGGTGACATGATGAAGATGTCGATTATATGCTTTATGAGATTAGGTCAACGAAATAGAGAGGCAGAGAGTAATTATAGGGGTTTACAAAATTAGGGTAATGTTTATTTACCTTAATAGCCTTTATAATTTTCTTTAAATCAAAATTTAAAATTTAAATGTATTAATAATTTAAAAAATAACAATTAATTATAGCCACACATCTTAAAATTTCGATCGTCCAGATCCGTTCTCGCGTTTTCAACATTTTAGGTGTTCTCATTTGATCCTACTCCTATATATATATATATATATATATATATATATATATATATATATATATATATATATATATATATATATATATATATATATATTATGATCATGATATTTTCCCTCCAAAAATATTTCAGACATTTAGTTTTTAGTTAATGTTATCTCATTATAATTATTATTTTTCTCATATAAAATAATAACATTACTAATATGTCTATATATTTTTATTTAACTTTTATAAGCAACATTAATATTATAAGATAGATTCAAGTGACAACTCTTCTTCTTTAAGAATGTAAAAGTAAAAATCTTTTTTTATTGTTTCATTATGTAATTTTTTATATGTCCCTGTGTTTTATACGGATCATAATCTAGCAAGGACACATACATAGATGATCCACATACATAGATGATCCAGACACAAGCCTTTAAAATTTGGTAAATATTGATGAGTTATTAAATTGATCTGGGCACAAGTTTTTAAAAGTTAGTAAAAGAAAGATAAAAGAGAAAAAAAATATGAAAAAAAAAAAATCAATTTTTACTATTAATACCCCATATTTAAAACACATTTCAATGTATCAGGTGGGGTTTACAAACAATCAAAAGTAGTCACTTCAGCCCCTCCTTTTTTTTCTCGATGCAGGTATGGGAGCAAGAGAAAAAATGGCGAGATCCACTTCCTCTTCTTTTCTATTCCAATCGCAGCCCTTTTTCTTCAGAATCAAGTTTTTCTTTTTCATTCCCGTCTCTCACCCCATCTTAATCTTGGTTGCAGGTATAAATCGAATAACAGGGAAAAGACAGGGAACTGGGAATTCTTCCTTTTCTCTGCGCGATTTACGTATTACAGTAGAGTGCTGGCTTGGTGGTGGTCGAAAGTGGCGTTTTACAGGTGGATGAAGGCAGTTGTGGTGGTGAACAGGGGCTGATGGTAAGAAAGGCAGTGGTGGTGCAGTGCTTTCGAGCTGTGGTGCCACATGATGTGTGTATGAGAAGGTTTCCAGGGTATTATTGTAAACTTATCAGCGTATGAGACGATTCTCTTCCCTCCAAAAGATAAGTCCTTGACTTTTTTCTTTTCTATCCGACTCACTCAAAAAAAAAAAAAAAAAAAATCTTGGAAACCCTAGGCATCTACTATATAGTCCATCTTGTCCTGTTTCCTTATACATTAATTGGGATGATCCTGAATGGAAGTAGTTTTTGGTACTTATATATGGCCATTTGAATTTTTTGCCATTTTGTGTTTGCCATCGTGTGTTGTGTAGCTTGGCCATAATGCTGCATTAATTAATTAGACATTGCTTTTAAATTGAAGAAGATGGTGGATATGTTTTATATATATGTCACCGTGAACTGTGAACTGAATATATAATCAGAGTTGAATCACATTATAGAACATTAAGATTGGAGTTCCGTAATTACTTAGATTCAATGAAGATGATTTTCAGTCAAAGTTCAGTGCAATTGTTCAGTATCCTCCTTGTGTTAAGAATAATTTTCTCTTGGGCAGCAGAACTTCCTCCTCATGAAGGCAATTCTTTTGTTCTATGTTTCTTTTCTTTTTCAAGATTATATATCTATATCTATATATATATATATATATATATATATATATATATATATATATATCAACTGTTTACCTTCTTATTGGTGAGTGAGGAAGTGGGGGAGAGGATTTGTCAATATAGTCTCATTAGCACTTTTGTAAAAGAATTTGTGATTATAGTCTCACTAGCTACATGAAGAGATGAAAAACAAGTCAAGAATTTGTTTCTTCACATCTCTTGTATATAAATAGTAAATAGATGTTACTGCTTATTTTTTAGCTGGAGTTATATACTACTATATAAAAGTGGGTAATTGTTTGATGTTATCCTGCAGTGAATAGCCTTAAGGAAGTAGCGAAAGAAATTGGAAAAAGAGACTGGGATTTTAGGTTAAATCCATGCGATGGAAATCCTAACTGGGCAACACCAGCCCGGAGTGCAATGCCTCAGTATAACAACACTCTTGTGTGTGATTGCTCCTACCCTGGCAATGTTTGTCATGTTGTTGCGACGTAAGTTGTTTGATTTCAATATTTTATTTTTTAATATATAATTTTAAAGGCTTAGCTAGTCACGGTATGGATGTGGAATCGTTGTATAAATATAAACTTTGCTTTGTAAACAGATATCTCAAGGGACAGGATCTTGATGGTGTTCTCCCACCATCTCTGGCAAAGTTACCTTACGTCAAAAAAGTGTAAGACAACTTGTGTTTAATTAAGATTTTCTTTTTTTGCTTCATTAATTAATGCTATATATATATATATATATATATATATATATATATATATATATATATATATATATATATAGGCTTAGGTTATTATATTCAAAGTAATTATTGTGTTATTGTATGCATAAATGTGGGTCAATCATTTTATTTATTTTAAGAAATTGATTAATACATATTATTGAATTAAATATAATTGAAAAATACCATCTAATTTAACTAGAAGGGTTTTTAGTCAATTAATATAGATTTAATAAAGGAAATTTACATATTTTAAGGGATCATATATTTTATTAATTTTAAAAATCCGATTTTACGAATTATAAGGCTTTTAATTCGGACATTCTGAGAGAATATGTTTGAATATGTTCAAAAATAAAAATATTCTAGAACCATAAAATAATAAAAATATTCTTGAACATATTTCTTGATCATGACTTTAAAAATTTCTTGTAGAATAATAATTTTTCGAACCAACAATTGAAGAATTAAAACAGAAATTACATTAATTCTTATAGAATACATGTAACAATTGCTAAGAATTACATTTATTGTTAAAGAATAAAACTAAAAACTTTCAAATCGGGAAAAAAACATCAAAATCTAACAAAGACACTAATACATTCCAAAAGAATAATGTTGCTAAGAGGCGTCGTTCAAATTTCGTGGTCCGTTCTTCAAGCATCAGCTTCTGTGGAAACAAATCCAATGAATAAATTAGTGAGAAAATATCCATATTCCATTCCAACATAATTGGAGTTCGTGATTCCATTCTGATCGAATTGGAATTCATTTACCAATAATTATATTAATTCAGAGCATTCTAACAGAATATGTTCATGATTATCATAAAAATCATTCTTTTCTGATAGAATACTATAAACGAAGAAATACCATTCAGTTGAAGCATTTTAGTGAGCGTTTGGTGTGCATCAAAACAACTTTCAATTTCCTGTAAAAATTAGACAATCAGAACAAGTTCCCAATTCACAAAGGACATTTTGTTGTTGGTGTTGTTGCCTTCCGTCCATCTACAACTGTTACTGATCCAGATTTGCAAGCACACATGAAGCAAAATATGTGTCCACAACTCAAATACACATGATCAAATACAGTATCCTGATCATTCAACAAATACAAACGACAGGTTATTCAATAGCAGACACTATATATATGATTTTTAATTAATCAAGGTATGCATTATTATAACAAAAAGTTTACCAGGCATGATCAAGGGCGGACCAAGCATATGGAACAAGTCAAATCTATCTCAAGCTTCACAGCATCAGACAGCTCACACAGCTCACATGAAAGTGATGGTTTTCCATCATTAAATATAAGAGAGCAACCTTCTAATATTTCAAAACCTTTCCTTATAGCTTTCTTTGATTCCCTTAAGTTAATATGGAAGGCAATAAGCTCACAAAGCCATGAAGACTGAAGGAGTTCTATGTGCATGCTCTGGGCTTGTGACCTGAATGCTTGCCCTTGTTTAGAGTCATGTATCTGGAGTAAAAAATTTATGAGTGCTCAACGGCTCATGTTTTATTATGTAGAATCTAAAAGCACTTTGATAATTAAGCGACAAATAAAAACCTTATCATATTTTTTTAAGAATTTTACGCATAGCAATGGCATTGATAACTGCATAAGCAACAAGGTCCTTGCCTTCTTGTATTAAAGAATGATGGTTTCCATGTAACTTGCCTTTGCACCACATGAAGTACTTGTCGAAGCCTGTTGCCAGATGAACATCAAGCACTTTTTGTGCACACTCATTAAAACATCCAACCACCACAGACATCTCCTTCATAAGGGAAGGAAAAAAAGCTTCCATGATAGAGGACAGGGGTTGAAGTGGTAGAGATTTGCATATTATGGCGTCAATTAAAATTTAAACACATACTTGACCGGTCCCTTGGGGGGAATCGACGACCACCGCCATCGAGAATGTCAGTCCACGACTGGAACGGCGAGGCTTCTTCCTCTTCTTGGCGCTTTCATTGCTGATGCTTTTCTTGGTCGATACCTAATGATTATAATTGCTTCTCTGCTTTAATAAATCATTAACTGGATGCTCTGTGCCTCTGTTGAAATCACCTCGATAATGTCTGATCAAAAATTCATAATTGACATGCGCTTGGGTGTGAGGCCGATGATAAGGGTGTGAGGCGATTTATGAAGGGGATAAATTTAGGGTTAGAAAAAGTCAATTAGATAAGGGGGGGGGGGGGGGGGGAACTACTCTAGAATATAATACCATGATTATAGGGATTATTTTTAGAAGTTATTAATCATATTACTAAATTACGCTTCTTTATTTATTTAATTATTTAATTTTGATTGACCCACATTTATGCATATAATAACACAATAAATACTTTAAACACCTGAACCTCTCTCTCTCTCTCTCTCTCTCTATATATATATATATATATATATATATTCATTACTTATACGAGGGCGATTACTTGTTGCAGCGAATTTAGTCGGAATTACCTAAGTGGCAGCATACCATCTGAATGGGCTTCTACAAAGCTGGAGAGGATGTGAGCTATTTAATAATTCCAAATCTCTATCTTTCTTTATATGAATCTCCACTTCTTAACCAATATCATGAACTGTAATCTAGGGACCTACTGGTGAATCGCTTGTCAGGAAGAATTCCATTGTTTTTGGGAAACATAACCTCACTTGTATATTTGTATGCTCTCTCTCAGACCTTCAATAATTCTTTTTTTTCATTTTAATCTGTGATTGATGGATAAATGTATACCAGGAGTCTCGAGAACAACATGTTTTCTGGAACTGTTCCAGCTGAGCTTGGGAAATTAGTAAATTTACAAACGCTGTAAGGTTTTCTTTGTACTGTATAGTTACTATAACAATTAATTGAGAAAAACCTATATATTTGTACATTAATTAGTATGTTATAATATTTTCCTTTCTTGTAAAACCGTATATAGGGTCCTGAGTGCCAATAATCTCTCTGGTGAGCTGCCGTTGGAGCTGAATGGTCTGACCAATTTGACAGAACTGTAAGCATCCCTTATGAACTATTTATCTTAATAAAACTTTACATATTACCATGTCTTATATTTTTCTTTAAATTAATATTTACGTATTCTCATCACTAATGTGCAGCAAGCTAAGTAGCAACAACTTCACTGGGAAAATTCCAAACCTTGGAACCTGGATAAAACTTCAGAAACTGTAAGATTTTATTTTTATGCAACCCCCTAGTTGTTATATATCCTAACCAGGGCAGGGTGGGGCGTGGGGATTAACAAGTAAGAAGTAACAACCTAGCTAAAAGTGCATTTGATTGCATGGATTAATATCATTACAAAGGACAAACAAACTTATGAAAAATACATTTGCATTTACATGGATTAATGTCATCACAATGCCACAAAGGTATGTTCAAAGTTCAAACAAACTTATAAAAAATACATTTGCATTTGCATTTGCATGGATTAATATCATCACAAAGCCACAAAGTTATGTTCAAACAAACTTATGAAACATGGTCGAGGTCTTGTATAGTATATACAGATAACTTCTATAAAATGAGTGCAAGAAATTGAAATGGAGCCCAAGCACTTTTATAGCTTGATGTGTATGTTTATAATTTGTATGGATGCATACTTGATGACAAACTAACACATGTCTCTCATATTAAACCTTTTCTGATATTATTAACTTTCCGTTGATGCTGTTTTTGATTGATTTGGGCACTCTATCTTTTATGATCAGAGAAATCCAAGGCAGTGGTCTAGAAGGACCAATACCTGCAAGCATCTCATTCTTGAAAAATTTGACACAACTGTAAGTTAGATACTTCCCTTTCAGGAGAATTCCATTATGTTGTATCCATATAATATGTATGAATGTAAGTTTTTTTTTTTTTTTTTTTAATAATCTGCATGCAGAAGCATCAGTGATTTGGATGGAAATAGTTCGCAGTACTTTCCAGACCTAAGCAACATAACAGGCATGGAGCTACTGTAAGTCAGTTTACGATTTAGAAATCTACTAAAAAGTTGATAAATTTCAAGATTGGATTTTTATTTCTTCAACAACTTTGGGAAAAAATGCAGGATATTCAGAAGTTGTAGACTAACTGGCAGCATTCCAAATTTTTTGTCAGAAATGTCAAGACTGAGGCATCTGTAATAATTCTCCCTCTTCCATTTCTTGATTGATTGAAAGCCGATTTTAGACTATATCCATTAGCATCATCTTGAGCATTTCGTTGTGATTATCTTTAGTGGTTGTTCAAACATCCTGATATACTCTTCATCTCCATTCACACACAGAGACCTCAGTTTCAACAACTTGGAGGGAGATATACCAGATTTGAAAGAATTAGATCTGGAGAAAATGTAAGTAAGATGAGCATTTTACCTTTTTTTTTTCCCATGTATCATTTGCTTCAACTGAGTTTCTTACTTATATATTTGTCTTGATAATTTGATCCTCAATATGCATACCAATATTTAATATATATTTCATTCCATAAGAGTACGGTTCAACAAAATATGGATAAGTTTATATTGTTCCTTGCATATTTAATGAAATAAATACCCGAGTGACTATTGAAAAGGAAAATAAAATAAAAGAGAGCATTATAAATCCCAATAATTATTTTGTGAAATGATTAGGTACTTGACTGGCAACTCCCTGAACGGAAGTATTCCTGCATGGATCAATGGTGGAGATACTACACAGTAGGTTTTCAGTTTTCCTTTTCTCATTTCAGAAATAGTTTTTTCCTGTGACTTAATTTGATGTGCTAGATGCATGGTTGTAGTCTTGGTCATATACATACAATCTGTAAATTTAACCTGAAAATGCTCTTCTTAATATGTAATTTTACTCACAATATATAGTTATATATAATTCATCAACGCTGATATGTGATTGTGATTATGAAACAGCGAGATCGATCTTTCCTACAATAAATTCAACGAAGAAAGTGTGCCCTCATATTGTCGTGAAACTCTGTAAGTTTTAATCTTCCAAATCATCTTGTGATTCTTATCCTGCCCATATAATATTCTAAAGATAAAGCTTATGTCGTCTTTCATTTATTAGGAACTTATTCAGAAGCTACGTTCCTGCAAGCAACTCGTAAGCTTATTATACCCATATATGGGTTAGTTTTTCTAAATTTCACCAAGTTTAATATTCTGATCTTTGATTGAATGCAGAGAGCTTGGGAAGTGCCTTAGCAAGTTTCCCTGTCTAAGGGGTGAGGAAGATACTTTCCTATTCCAATTAATTAATTTGAACATGAAAACCAAAGTTGACTGATTTTTATGTTTTTTGTTTTCTAGAGTACTCCTCAATTCGCATTAATTGTGGGGGACCTAAAGTGACCATTGGAAACTTGACATATGAAGCTGATGAGGATTCAGGTGGAGCAGCTAAGTTTGATCCCACAAGCGGCTTTTGGGGGACAAGTAGCACTGGCAATGCGTTGGGTGGTAATCATAGATTATCCAACTATGTAGCCACCAATGTATCTGCACTGACTATTGATGATAGTCAACTGTACACTACAGCTCGCCTCTCTCCACTATCCATCACTTACTATGGTCGATGTTTACCAAATGGGAACTTTACGGTGACTCTGCATTTTGCAGAGATAGTTTTCAGAGATAATATGTCTTTTCAGAGTCTTGGAAGGCGTTCGTTTGATGTATATATCCAGGTTTGAATTTGATTATTCTTGTTATTATATTTCTGCATTTCAAACAACAGTAGAACTAGTTTCTTTTCAGGAAATATATCCATGTGAAGTGCTCCATTTCAACTATAAAATACTACATATATGCAATTCGCATAATTAAGCAGAATATTTTTGCAGGGTGTGTGTATATTCAAGAATTTTGACATCAGGAAGGAAGCTGGCGGGGTGGATAGAGCTGTAATAAAAGAAATAAAAAATGTTGTTGTAACCAACACAACATTAGAAATCCGTTTCCAGTATGCTGGGAAAGGCACGACAGCAGTCCCGAGTAGAGGATCCTATGGTCCTCTAATATCAGCCATTTCTATGGTGTCTGGTATGTTATTGTTCCGACTTTAATCTTGTGGTTTTATGTGATTTTCATTTTACTGCTAAACTTATAGAGATATATTATAAATATATATATATATATATATATATATATATATATATATATATATATATATTCTTGTTGTTTTTATTTAGATATTAGTCCTCCAATCAGTGACAAGAGCATAAAAACTATTGTCATTGTGGCGGTGGCTGGGATTGTATGCCTCATCCTCATCATATTTGGTGTTGAAAGGTTGGCGTTTTATATGCGAGAGCGCTTGAGGTGGGAAAGAGGTGTGTACATGTTTTGATTATAAGAATCCATTTACCCAAAATGCCCCGATAAATATGCTGTTTAATTTGTGAGATAATTGTTTCTTCCCTGTAGATCTGAGAGGATTCAATTTGCAGACGTATCAATTTACCTATAGACAAATCAGAGCTGCCACACGCAACTTTTCAGCTTCAAATAAACTTGGGCAGGGCGGTTTTGGTGCTGTTTATAGGGTAAGTAAATATTTTACACACTGACATTTCAAATAAACTAAAGGTCACTTATAATTAATTTGCAGGGTACACTCTCTGATGGCACTATAATTGCTGTGAAGCAGCTTTCTCAGACATCAAACCAGGGAAACCGTGAGTTTGTGAATGAAATTGGGTTGATGACCGGCATACAACATCCGAATATTGTAAGGCTGTATGGATGCTGTGCGGAATCCAACCACCTAATGCTTGTTTATGAGTACATGGAAAACAATTCTCTGGCTCAGGCTCTATATATATATATATATATATATATATATATATATATATATATATATATATATATATATATATATATATATATATATATATATATATATATGTTGTGGGACATTAAAACATTTGTTCTTAAATTCCAGGCCATGGCAACTCTGGTTTGCTACTGGATTGGCCTACAAGGCAAAACATTTGTGTGGGGGTTGGCATTCCTGCATGAGGAATCCATCCTGAGAATGGTTCATAGAGACATCAAGGCTGCAAATGTACTCCTTGATAGACACCTTACTCCAAAGATCGCTGATTTTGGCTTAGCCAGGCTTTTTTCGGAAGACCGCACCCAAGCGCGCACTGCTCCCGCTGGAACTTTGTGAGCAACTAGATCAACCTGTCTTCCAATTAGATCTTTTATTATATATAAAAGACATTTCTTTTATTAACTTTCTTCTTGTTCCTACAGAGGATATATGGCGCCTGAATACGCATATACTGGCCAGTTAACCTACAAAGTAGATGTGTTCAGCTTTGGGGTTCTTGCAATGGAAATTGTAACTGGCACGCCCAACGTATATCCTCCAGCAGATGATCTAGAGTATTTAACTATTGTTCATAGGGTAACATTTATTTTCCTAACTGCTATGATTCCATTCTTCCTACAAATCCCAAATACTTAACCCAATCTTGTTATTTATGATGCATCTGTTTGTCTCCATCATAAGGCTACTGCTTTGCAACAACAAGATGAGAGTTTGATACACTTGGTGGATTCAAGATTGGGATTACATTTTGATGCTGAAGAGGCACTGAGAATGATCAGAATCGCTCTGTTATGCACTAATAATAACCCGAATGAAAGACCTTTGATGTCAGAAATAGTGGACTTGCTTCAGGGAAATATAAATCTACAAGATTATAGAGTCAGATCTCCAGAGACTGGCCATGGTGAGTTCTCTAATCTTGTGCTCTCTCCAGAGACTTACCATGGTGAGTTCTGGAATCTCGTTCTCCGAGAGCACATTGAAGAAGACATTTACTTGGAATGATACTAGGCGTATGATCAGTTATGGACTTAAAGAGATGATTGTTAAGCTTTATTTTTCCTTGTTTCATATTCAGAAGGCCATGAAGGCTTCGCCTATAAATCAATTGTTTCACTCTTAGATTTTGAGATGATGATGCATTGTGCCTTTGTGATATGTTGAGATTGAGATAAGTTATTGATGTTGCCAACAAGACTTGAAAATTTTTTCAACAGATGAGTTGGGAAATCTTTGATCATTCCTTTGATCTGAGTTTTTAGCTACAACGAAGAAAGAAAATAAAAACTAAATTACAAGGTAAGGTGTAAATTACAAAACGTACACAAAATAATCTTCCTTTATCATCACTTTTTAAACTGAAACCAACAAATACAAAAAGAAAAGTAAAACATTGCACCAGGTAGGGCCAAAACTAAGAAAAAGCGTCAGCAATGTGCCTTACCTTATGATTCCTGGTTTAGTAGTGTATCTACATGTATTGGACAAGGCCAAAAATATTATCCGTAGTTAACATTTCTAAATTTCATTCATGTTTCGATTTAAATATCTGTCCGATAATTTCAATTTTTTGATTTATTTTACCACTATTATTATTTAAATACTTACTGTTTGATGTAAAGAAAGTCTTTTTGAAAAATTACATAAACTAAGACTGTACCCACTAATTAAGGAATCATGTTTATCAAGTATCAACTATATTATAGATCCAATGTCATTAGCTATATGTTTATCATTTGCTTTACGAAAACCGGCTCTGAAGTCATGACTACAATAAACTTAAAATCCCGTTAATATTTGCTTTAACTTTTGCATGTCTGATAAGTGGGACGCACCAACTAAGTTGAAGACTTTAATGTTATCATGTAAAGCTTATGTGAGGGATTTTCCATCAATAACTGCAGCATACAGATCATTGTTAAATCCTGTAATCTAGACTATGTTTTTAAATGGAATGTTAGGTTCCGTTATGTAAATAGTTATTAGTTAGTTACTGTTATGTTTGGCAGTTTGTAACTTCTTATAACTGCCATCTCTGTATATGTATATATATGTAAATAATCTATGTAATAAGGCTTGCTGATGGAATAACATTTTGAAGCCGTTTATTGGTAAAACTTGTGGCTTTACTTGAGAATTAAACAAACAATTGATCTTTACTGCAACAAATTGGTATCAGAGCGCAGTAATTTTGTGTAAGATCCTGGACAAGAAGATACGTATGGTATGGCGTCGCATAACAGCAACATCATACAACCCCAATTACCGAAATTAACTGGTAAGAATTACCATCATTGGAGTATCCAAATGAGGGTTCTATATGAATCTCAAGAACTTTGGAGTATTGTTGAAGAAGGCTTACGTGAACCTGCAAGGAATATTGAACAAACACTCCAACAAGTGGCTGAATTACGAGAGAACAAGAAGAAGGACAAGAAAGCACTGTCTTCATATATCAGGCAGTTGACGAAAATATTTTTGAGAGAATCTCAACATCCAAAACATCGAAGGAAGCATGGGACGCACTGCACAAGACTTATCGTGGTGAAGAAAGAGTGAAAATCGTACGGTTACAAACCTTACGCTGTGAATTTGATAATCTGAAGATGAAAGAATCGGAATCAATCGAGGATTTCTATAATCGCATAATCACAATTACTAATCAGATGAGGCTTAACGGAGAAGATATTGAAGACAAACGAATTATCGAGAAGATTTTACGGAGTTTAACCAGGAAATTCGAGTACATCGTAGTCGCAATCGAAGAATCCAAGGACCTTTCTGAAATGTCTCCCGAAAGCCTGTTAGGAACATTACAATCCCATGAACTCAGATTAAAACAATTTGATGCACACCCAATAGAACATGCCTTTCAGTCGCAAGTTTCATTCAAAGACGATACTAACAACAAAGGGAAAGGAAGGGGTCGTGGAAAGCCATCTAATACAAACTCAGTACAAGAAAACGAAGATGAAAACACCTCCAAAGGGCGAGGAAGGGGAAGACCTCTGTCTGAAATTCAATGTTATCATTGCAAAGGTTTTGGTCATACCATAAGATTCTGTAAAAAAAGATTGGCAGAAGAAAGAAAGGAATCAAATTTCATGCATGAAAATGGTGAAAAAGAAGACGATACCATGTTCATGACATGGGAAACACCGGATATAATACCTGATGAAGTGTGGTACATCGACTCTGCATGTAGCAATCATATGACTGGGAACAGGAGTTTGTTTGTGGAACTAGATGAAACAGTAAAAAGCGAAGTTAGAACAGGGGATGAAAAAAGGCACATAGTTCAAGGCAATGGCATTGTTCGAGTAAAAGCAAATAAAGGTCCTAGAAGAATAACGAATGTTTATTTGGTTCCTGCTTTAAAATACAACCTTCTTAGCGTAGGACAACTTTTATTAAATGATTATGAAGTTAACTTTAAAGGGCTCCTATGTGTGATTAAAGACAAGGAAGGTTGCATTCTTGGTAAAGTGAATATGACCAACAATAAGATGTTTCCTCTTAAATTCAACAAGGATACGTTGGCTTCTTTTAAGGTGTCAACTTTTAACAAATCTGACCTTTGGCATCTGAGATATGGACACCTGAGCTTCGAGTCATTAGCATATATGTGTAAGCATCAACTAGTACATGGTATGCCAGAAATCAACAGAGTTAGGCGAGTATGTGAGGGTTGTGCATTGGGTAAACATGCAAGAAGTCCATTTCCTCAAGACCAGGCATGGAGAGCATCAAAACTTCTGGAACTAATTCACACAGACGTGTGTGGACCTATGAAGACGGAGTCCATAGGAGGGAGTTACTACATGCTCACATTCATTGATGATTTTAGCAGAAAAACGTGGGTTTACTTCCTCAAAGAGAGATCTCAGGTATTTGAAGATTTCAAGATCTTTAAGTCATCAGTAGAAAAACAAAGTGAGCACAACATCAAGACCATACATACCGATAACAGGGGAGAATACACTTCACATCAATTTGAAGATTTCTTAAAGGAAGATGGAATTTCACATCAAAAAACCACATGATATACGCCTCAACAAAATGGCGTTTCAGAAAGGAAGAATAGAACCATAATGGAGATTGCAATGAGCATGCTTAAAGGAAGGAAGGTACCAATCAGATTTTGGGCAGAAGCGGTCGCATGCGCAGTGTATCTGCTAAACCGAGCAGCTACAAGAAGTGTTAAGGGGAAAACACCCCAAGAAGCTTGGGGAGGGGTTAAACCTGGAGTTTCTCATTTAAGAGTGTTTGGATGCGTTGCTTATTCTCATGTTCCAAAAGAAAGAAGGGGTAAACTGGATGATAAATCAGAAAAATGTATCTTCATAGGTTATAGTGAAACCTCAAAAGCCTACAAACTTTACAACCCAACAACTAGTAAGGTAATCATCAGTAGAGATGTTTTATTTGAAGAGGATAAAGGATGGGATTGGCATCAAAACACTAATGAAGGATCAAGAAAACTTATTGAAGAAGATGTGGTAAATGAAGACCAAAACATTAATGCCAATGGTGGTGATAATGGAGATGATGATCATATGCACTCAAACAATTCAAGTCCCACACCATCAAAGCCATCATCACCTACATCGACATCAACACCCGGTTCTACACCAAAGAAATATAGAAGTCTGGATGACATATATTCAAGATCAGAACAACTTAACATTGATGATCTAGTGGATTTTTGCTTATTCGCTGATGCAGACCCAACTCACTTTGAGTCAGCAATTAAAGAAGACAAATGGAGGAAAGCAATGGACCAGGAGATAGAGTCTATTATGAAGAACCACACTTGGGACTTGGTAGAACTTCCACCAGGGCATAAACCCATTGGTGTCAAATGGGTTTATAAGACAAAATTAAAAGAAAATGGTGAAGTCGAGAAGCATAAAGCTAGATTGGTAGTGAAGGGATACAAGCAGAAGTTTGGGATCGATTATAATGAAGTGTTTGCACCAGTTATTCGCTTGGAGACTATTTGGTTAATCGTAGCATTAGCAGCTCAAAATGGATGGATTATAAACCAAATGGATGTAAAATCAGCATTCCTAAATGGTGATTTGCTCAAAGAGGTGTACATTGATCAGCCACCTGGTTATGTCAATCAAAACGAAAAACATAAGGTATGTCGTTTAAGAAAAGCTTTATATGGTTTAAAACAAGCACCACGGGCTTGGTATAGTCGCATAGACAGATATTTTATGAATCATGGTTTCAAGAAATGTCCACATGAACACACGTTGTTTATCAAAGAAAGAAATGGTGAGTTCCTATTCGTATGCCTATACGTGGATGATCTGATTTTTACTGGGAATAGTACAAAGATGTCACTAGAGTTTAAAAAATCAATGAAAGGTGAATTTGAGATGACAGACTTAGGATCTCTACATTACTTTCTGGGAATTGAAGTAAAACAAAGCATTAACAAGATTTCTATTATGCAAAAGAAGTATGCTCAAGATGTGTTAAAGCGATTTCATATGGAGGATGCCACTCCATGTTCGACCCCAATGGAACTAGGCTTAAAGCTCTCAAGGGAGGCAAATGGAAAAGAGGTTGATTCAAGTTTGTTTAGGAGTCTAGGTGGTAGTTTGATGTACCTATCTACTACTAGACCAGATATCACCTATGTTGTGAGTTTAATTAGTAGGTTTATGGAACACCCAAAACAAGAACACTGGGAAGCTGGCAAGAGGATTCTTCGTTACATCAAAGGAACAGTTGGACATGGAATTTGCTACAAGAAAGTTGATAAATCAAGATTGACTGCTTATGGGGACAGTGATTATGGAGGAAGTGCAGACGACAGTAGGAGTACTTCAGGGTATGTTTTTAACATTGGTTCAGGTGCCATTTCATGGCAATCAAAAAAACAGAAGGTTGTTGCATTGTCTTCAGCAGAGGCTGAATATATGTGCACCAGTTTAGTGGGGTGTCAAGCAATTTGGATGCGAGGGATACTTGAAGAACTTTACTTGAGAATTAAACAAACAATTGATCTTTACTGCAACAATCATAAGATAGTCCAGAAAGTTGAGCTTTTCATGTGCTAATATCTGCTTCTTTACATTTTCTTCCGTGACGTGCAAGGGAAAAATCATCATTTTATGAGAAAAAGTAGCGAAAACAATGAAAACAGAAAACTTGACGTACGCTTGCCTTTGAATTTATGTTTTTGTCCCCGATTTTTTTTGACTAATACTACTACGATTTTAGGGATCCCAAGGTTATTATTTGTCTAAGGAACCTACAAGCAAAACTGTTCAAAACTTTCACAAAGTTTCTATTAGGATGTTATATTCTGATAATTCTACCCAA